TACCATAGTAAATAGAGTTTCGTGTTTACTTTGAGTTAGTAAGAATTTAATGCCATTGTGGCTTTATGAATGGGATCTTTGCTTACTGTGGTTTTCAACTAAAATGGGACTAATGGGACGTTAGGGTTATAAATGTCACGATTTCTTAGTACACTTTCAAAAGGAATAATATATTTACGAATACCATCTCGGTGTTGAGAAATTTATAGAAACTGCCCTGAATACAGCACGAAATAAAATCAACTGCGGCCCGTATTGAGAAGGAGAGTACAATGATTTATGGAAAGTTCATATTGAAAGAAGTTGACAATTGCAAATTTCTTTGGGAAAATAATAAAGTAAATCTGGCTAAGATTGAGACGTAATTTTTGCGTTGTTCTCCGATAAAATGGCTTTTCGTTAACGGTGGAGTAAATAAGTAGTTATAGTTTTAGTATGTACTTGTTTTTCATTATAATTAGTTTCTGAAAAATAATATAGGGGTAAGATAGCGGTGCAGTTAGGTTGTTTAACATAAACTATTTGCATCGAGGCCATTATGCAGAGATGAAACAGCAGAACACTAAATCATCCCACCCATTTCTGCTATGTAGCGGTGATGCGGTTTCAAAGACTTCTAATGCAGATTTCACTCCTATACAACAAATACATCTATAACATTTATTTTTAGACGAAGAAGTAGAAAAGCAAACGACTCGTGAAGCGTAATTCTTATCTTTCTAATCCAATTCCGAACCCTTCCTCTGCGTAATTTGTTGCCAGAGATCCCCTAAATAAGGAAAATATCGGGCTCAATTACCGTACAAGGGATCCGTATATGTACTTCCCAGACAACTATGAAAGAAGAATGATCTAGCTAAAACTTTATGGGTGTTCGTTTATTTTGTGTAGATGGATGAAATGGACCACAGATGAACAAGGTCGTGGCCTATTTGGTATTAAATGGACGCCTAATTACCAGTATTCTCAGTTAGTAAGTATCTACAGTCGGCATCATTGCGCCACTTTGAGAAGGTGGCACGACATGAGAATCCTCTTGTCGTAGCCGCTGGAAATTACATATCCGATTCTGTAGACCGAATGGTAAACAGTCGACGTCACCCAAAACACGTCTTTAGGGATCCTTCTGATCCATTAACGGTGCTTTTAGGTACCACAAGCACAGATCACCGTCCTCGTCGAACCCGTCGCTTGCGACGAAGGGCTCGACGAGCGAATTAACCCACAGACACAGCCCACGGATTTTCTCGCCGGATATTCTCAGTGAGTCTCGTTTCCGATCCGGTGGTAGATTCTGCGAAGCTCTGCTCTTGCTAGGGCCAGTATTAGCACCACGTTAGCTACACGTTAGGCCGAAGCTGATATAGCCTCTCAAGGCTATAAGGCATAGGTAGGAAAAAAGACAGTATTTTCGATTTTGGGGTTGTCCTGGCTTAACCAGATGGGTAGGCAAGCTCACAGGGCTCACTTCTATGTATGCTCTTTCGTAGGCTCGATAGCGGCGAAAACATAAAAATAGAAGGACTATTTTGCTCACGCTTCGCCGTCTTCTGGTTGGAGATCTCACCACCTTGCAAGTCTTATAGCCACAGGGTCAATAGTGATGTACAGGCAAATTAATATTGTATATTTCAAAAGATTAACAACAAAGGGAAGATCTTCCACTGAGCGAATGAAATTGCTCGGTAGACTGAGAGTCAGAATGTGGATGTTCAGAACTGGTTTAAATGCAAGGTTACCTTGAAAATATCGTAAGCGATATTCAGGCATCTGTCAAATATCTCGTGTTCTATGATGGCTACCACCACAAGTGTAAGTATTATAATATATTAATGTGTGAATTTTCTTATTTATATTCCCCAATTCTGACACGTTATTATATAAAGGTATTGCTTACATAAGAATACATAAAATGTGTAAAAGGTAAACAAAGAAAAACGATGTACTTTTGAAAACATTTAGATGTTATGCATTGTTATTTTTATCATGGAACCCCAAGGTTTAATTTCACCTCAAGTTAAAACGCTTGTCAGCTCTTTATACTTGATTTTTCTCAACTTCATTAATTTAGGCTCAAACTTTTCCTTTTAAATTTGTTTTACCTGTATTTCGCGTGAAGTTGGAATTTTAAAATGAGTGCTCTTCATTTCTTTAAGAATTATGATTAAGATAAAAATAAAAAAAAAAAACAGTATATATCTATTTGTTGTAAGTTTTTAAATAATGTAATGTTAATAGTATACCGCCACATATCTGCTGTGTCTTTATTATTTTTAGAATTTCTGTAAATAAAACGAATGTCTGGAAGAGATCGCTTATAGCGATAAGACCGCCTATTGTACAAATATTTTGATGGATTTAAATGAATTACTTCGGTATCGCAAATTTTTGTATTGCCGTAGACTTACTACTTGATGTTAAGTGAATATTCCAGTTCCTATGCTTCAAGATGTCAAAAGCGCCACTTCGAGTCTCGAGATCAGAGGAATTGATAGAATTCTAATAACAGTTGTCCTACACGAAGAGGAAACAAATGTTCAGAATTTTACCAAGTGATTAATTCCTACTCGCTTCGGGTATTTCAATATTGCAATAATTATTACGTTATAGTACCTCTTGTAAAAATGAATACTTAAAAATAATCCAATATTTCAAAAAAAAGACATGTCCGCTGAGTTTCTTGCCAGTTCTTCTTAGGACGGAGGCAACTTTTTGTGAATTGGCGGTAGTTCTTTTTGACGTTCAACAAGTATGTACTTTCATTTATGTTGAATAAAAAATATATTTGATATGATTTGTTATTATAGACATCACAATCTGAATGTGCCATCATCTACAGACGTGAGATCGAATGTTTGCTTATCTTGTTGACTGTTTTTTTTAATATTAATTGTGTTATGGTGTGTAATAAAGTATATTCTATCTTTCTCCCTCTGTTTTTATTTTTTTATTTTATTCTTATGCTGGCTGTATGGCTCAGAATAATAAATCTACATCCTTTTCCGTGTGTGTAGATTGAAGATTATTGAACGATACAACAGAGAATGGACCACAACTTTCAACAACTTCATTGAGTTTCATACTATACTACGATGGTGGCTCTCTCTCTCTTCGATCGGTCCCTCACTGCTGAGGATCGTGACTCCGTCCGATTCCGTCAACCAGCTGTCTCCATCGATTCCGTTTTGTAGCTTGGTGGAGTGTGTCGCTGACAGGTATCCCCAGTTCCTCCGCTATTTGGTCCGACCATCGCTTGGGACCTCTACCCCTAGACCTTTTTCCCTCTATTTTACCGGTCACCACAAGGCGTTACAAATTGCTGGTATCCCTGCGTGCAACATGACCAAAATACCGCAATATTCTTTGTAGGCAGGTTGTGGATAGACGTTGAGTCTTTTCTATTTATAACTGCCTGAGAATAGAGATGTTGGTGCGGCGGGCCGTCCATGGTATTCGTAGCATATGCCGCGATGGTGGCAACCAAGTAATAATACCTAATGGACTGAGAGATGGTCTGCCGATCGACAGAAATTAGTAAAACAAAAACTCTGTAATTTGTAATTTGTATATTTCTGTCACAGCAAAGATTCGTCAACGCATTAACAAACGACCTACTTTGGAGTTAAATTGACCTCTCTGACCTCTCGATCAATAAAGCTTCGCAACAATTCCTATTAGACCTGATTTGTAGGCTTATTTTCATTGATGTCATTCAACCAGCCTTTGACGTTGGCTCGTTGGTAATTCCTTTGACTAGACTAGAATTTACGATTATTACCGATTTTAGTTTCGTATAAACATCAGCGCTTTGGTTCTGACAGTCCATTCGGGACTGTGTTAAAATTTTATTGCTCCCACGACGCTGGTAAACATGTTTGATTGATTTAGATTTATTGTTGCTAACCTATATTAGATTGTTTGCGCAAACAATTCGCTGAAGTTCTCGTGGCCTAAAGGGTAATACGCAGGGTGTATTTCTATAGAGTGATCCGAATGTTCCGGTGTTCAAATCCCGCATGTAGGTACCAATTTTTCCCATTGAAATAGGAACTTAACATATGTTGATTAATAACGTCAACGATGAATAATGACTGGTGGACGCTGGGGTTCGGGATAAATAAAAAAATCTACCGAAGTACAAGTTAACACTTTATTAGCACTTAGAACACTTAAAACACTTTAAAATTCTCAATTCGCTTCTTCCGCTTCGATTCAGGTGATCCGTTCGCTGTTTCGCTTTGAACTACTGGAATTACTGATTACTGGCTGACTGCGTGCCATCTCTGCAACGCTTTTATAGTCGGTACGACATCCCTAGAATCGTCGAGAACATTCCTCACAAGTCAAGTACTTTCGATGTGTTTCCGCTATCTGACAATAGATGGTGTTGTATTTCTCGAGCGTTCTAGGTGTTACTAGATCCTTCGATATTCGTTTGGCTAATCGGCGATAGATGACGTTACTCTTACCGGTGTAACAATACCATCGTGTAATGAAATCAAATCCAAATAGATACTAATTGACCGAATTACCAGTGGTAGGGCATTTTGTGAGCCCGTACGGGTAGATGCCGGCATCTTGGCCATTTCTAGATTGAAGGGTGGGGCAGGCGGTATTTGTGAAGATGGGTGGCGGCATACACGTTGTGATGTGTGTGAGCTTTGGTAACCACTGAAAACCAGGTAGACTGTGAGCATGTTCACGCTACTAACCAATAAAAAAACATAAAGAAATAAAATATCAACCTATCTGAAAGAACCTAGTTTTGCTTGAGCGTCTTTGTGCGCGACTGTCCATTTATTTACATAGCGACCGATATCTTGTGACAAAAAATATAAATTAATCAAACGTCAAACCACAAACAATAATTTCATTGAATTTGATAACTCAAGTGTCGAATACGCAAAATGACATTTCATTTCATATCGTGGCCCTACTGTATTGAAAATGTCAAATATGTACTCAAAACAAACAGTCTTTATTTAAAGTGATCAAATGAAATGGTGAATATTAAAGATAAATATGAAAACCCATCAACCTCGCAGAGTGCTCCAACAACCCCGAGACCTTTGCGTCGAGACCCATCACTTCCAACGTCTTTACCTACATACTCAAAGCCAGATAAACTGCAAGTTGTATCTCAAGAAAAGCCTATATCTTGTAGAAGAAGGTTCCTCAAATACCTTTACAATAGAGAAAAAAAGACATTTTGTGGTAGAACGTGTAAAAATTGGTTTTCGATCATCATCTATTCTGTCCTATATGTAATATCTTTGGCAGCTTATTCCCTGTTATTTTTATATGGTACTTTAATAATATTGAAGGAATTAATTGATTATCGAGTTATGGACAAAGTGGAGTTACTGACTTACTCAGAAAATGGGATCGGCCTTTCAGGGACGCCAGCTTCTGAAGGTGATCAGCCAATAATCTGGTATAGGCAAGGTGTTGAAGATGATTACAAAAAATACATTAACGCGATCGACAGACTTTTAGTCAAGAATAGAAGAAAAAGGGAGCTCAGTGATTTAGGGCCTTGTGGCGAAGCTCCTTACGGATACGGAGACAAACCTTGTGTGATAATCAAGATAAATAAACAGTTGTATTGGAAAGGGAAACCATTGGACACCAATTCATCTGAAACGAAATTGGCACCAAAGCAAGTTCTGAATTGGATACAGAGAGACAAGAAACTCTGGAATTTCTGCGAAGGGGTTACCTCGTTCGACAAAGAACACTTGAGGGATATCGATTACTATCCAAACCCTCCAGGCATAGATCCTGGCATATTTCCAATAGATTTGCAAAGCGCTTTGCCTGTAGTTGCCATACAAATATCGAATTTTACTATAGGTACATCATTGGCGATAGAGTGTAAACTTTGGTACGAAGGAGGTCCTTCATCTTTTGGGTTTGTAATATATATTGCTCCAGATAGTCAAGTAGTTTATAGGAAGACGATTGATAGTGAAATAAATAGTGGATGATGTAAATAAATGTTTTTAATGACTGAATGTATTTGAAATTAATTTTCCCTTGGTATTATCTAGCTCGGTGGTGATTGATTCGGTTGAATATTTCCTTTCATAGTTTCGCATACCTGCCATTGTTATTGGACCAATAAATTGGAAAAACGACAGTTGTTGACTTCGAAACCGAAGAAAATTGTGTTATTCATGTAAAAAAGTCTGGTATGCATATATGGCTGCCTTTTTGGCCGTGTAATCCAGGGTCGATATAATTAACAGAGTTCTTACTATCTTTTTTCAACCTCTGTCCACCGAATGCTGAGTGTAGGTCTCTTCAAATGAACCCTATTCTTTTCGTTCTCTTGCCTTCGCATCCCATCGGTACCAATCACTTTGACTAGATCGTCGGTCCACTGAACAATGTTTACCATTTGTAATGTCGTTCATTACAATACTAGCTTGGATAGATTGTGAGCTTCTATAGCTCGCACGGTGTTACCTACGCTCCCTGTTTTCATTACAAAGGCACCATACTATTTCATTATTTATTACAAAAAAAACCCTTATGCTTCGTAATGGTTTTGTTTTCGACAGATGGAGATTACGTCCAAGTTAGTGTCAAGAACGTGTAGAAACCACCTGTATTTTTTTTCCGGATCGGAATCGCAACCCTCTGGCGGTAGATTCTGCAATGCACGGCTCTTGCTAGGGTTCGTGTTAGCAACATCGTCAGGCTTGAGCCCCGTGAGCTCACCTATTAGCCCGGTGACGCTGATATGGTCCCCCAGACCATCAGCTAAGGTATGAAAAAAAAAACACGTGCTTGACATGAACTGGGACGTAATCTCCACCTGTCTTAAGGAATAAAAATAAGTGTCTTAAATTATATCGCACATTGTTCTATTAAATTCCTGAAAATTCACGAAATGCTGTCGTTTCTAAAGCAAACAATAAAAATTTAAATAAATATATAGTACTAAGAAAGAAATCAGCTTATCTGAACCGAAATAGAATTAAAATGTTTTTATTCTATTCGTATCGAGTTCTGAGTTTCTATGTTGAATACAAACATACGGTTGAGTTTGATGAAATTTCCTAGAAGTTGTTCAACGTATCGTGACCTAACATACACAACGCGTCTGACTAAAGTAAATATATAAGGAACGTGAATATGAGCCAGCCAATATATTTAATTTGCTAATTCAAACTCTGATGCGAACACGCGCGTCGTCTGAGCAGGTATTATGATTCTGTGGTTTATAAATATAGCGAACTAACAATTTGTGTGGTTTTATTTATTTATTGGATAGGTAGGTGGACGAGCCCATCTGATTTTAAGTGGTTACTGCAGCCCATAGACATCTACGACGTAAATGCGCCACCCACCTTGAGATATAAGTTCTAAGGTCTCAAGTGTAGTTACAGCGGCTGCCTCACCCTTCAAACCGAAACGCATTACTGCTTTTTACCGATATTTTCGAGAAACGTTATATAGAATAGTCATCTTCGAACAAAATATACAAATTAAATCGTGATTCAATCCACAAAAACTCTATCATTATAAAATGTATACAGAAGCAATTTTATTTATTTTGGCTGTGACCATCTCATACAACAGTTATCCTTCAAAGTCAAAGTTACAATTTTATTAAATCTCGTTGGAATGGCCGCGGAGAAACCCAAGCTAGGACCCTTATTTCACAGTTTTATATGCAAGAAGAATCTTTTAAATGAACTTTCCGCAATTACTTTATTCATCCCTCATCCTTTAGAGCGAATTTTGTGCGAATTTGGGTATGGTGTGATTAGACAAGGTAAGGTAAGGTAAGGTAAGGTACATGGTTATTAATAAACATGATGAATTAGGTGTGTACTAAAATCTTTTACATAAACAATTAGGTAGGCAGCGGTTTGGCTCTGCCCCTGGCATTGCCACAGTCCATGGGCGACAGTAACCACTCACCATCAGGTGGGCCGAATGCTCGTCTGCCTACAAAGGCAATAAAAAAAATGTTTAAATATTGTGTTGATTGATAAAATTGCTTAAATAAATAAATAAATAGAGTCTTTGGTTTTATGAGAAGCAACTTATTAAATAAATGCATTGGATTTATCTTCGGTTTCGTTACACATGATGTGTTCATGGTATTAAAAATAGCACATACAGTTACTTTAAGGATTACAGATAATTATGATAAACATGAACAAATTGATGTTAGATAGAATAACAGCATAGCTACTAGTACACTAAGCTTATCTTCCTTAAGCATGGGCGCAATTTTTCATACATTTTAATACTCCTAAATTTAACTATAACTGAAAGACAAATTTACTATAGCTGAAAGAAATTAAATTAATTTAAATTGAAAAGGTAAAAGAAAAGTTGAAAAGAATTTTAAATTTTACCGTCGGTCAGTATAAGAACTCTAGACATTTTGTTTAATGCAGAGTGTATAATGCAGAGATTTGGTTTAAAGTTTATAATATATAGTTAACATATGATAGTCCGAAGGACTTTGATTTTTGTTATCATATAAGCAATTTCCAACATATTCAATCATTAAGTGGCGAATAAAACACTTTATCTTTGTACATTGTGATTTCGCAGAGATAGATACTTTTTTATTTTATTATTATTATTATTATTATTTTTTTATTGCCTTTGTAGGCAGACGAGCAGCATACGGCCCACCTGATGGTGAGTGGTTATCGTCATCGTCCTGTCTACATACATTGCCAAGCATCCACGTATTTTAAAATGAGGCCTGATAAACTCGTTATCTAAGCATTCACGTTGTGATATCATTAGGCCCTGGTAGCAGCTAAGTACCATGAGCAGGCGGGCACACAATGAGCACTTCCCCCATCTATGGTACTAAAAAGAGTTTTGGTTACAAAGCAACCTTACATTTTCTCGTTTAATCTTTTGTTTCTATATAATATAAAAAAAGCGGCAGTAATATTGATTGCTGAAACAATAATTTTTAAGCAATTACCACAATTTTATGTAAAATAATGTTGCCATCAATTTAAATGTAGAACATAAATTTTAATTGAAAAAAACTGGAGATTGTCGTTGCTACGGTTATTACGTAGGAAGCCGGACGGATCTTATTCACGAAAAGAAATCTGCGAAAGGTTTACAAGGTTCTGCGGAATACAAAATACAACTGCCGTCGTTTGGAGTAAAGGAAAATGATACGCTAACCGTAGATTAAACAGTAATATACAAAGTTCAAACAGAAACTATGCATTGTGATTGTTGTTGAAAATGTTAATGTTATAAAATTTTAATTACATTTTTCCGGATCGATAACATAGAAATGGCGGTTAGATTATGTGATGACGGCATTAAATTCCGTCATTAATATATAATAGCTACAAGCATTACACTGTAGAAAAGGATACGATTATAGTCGATCTGGTTCTGACGTGAGGCATCGGATTAAAGTGGATAAATACCTAGTTTTGACGGGAGGCATCGGAGTAAAGTGGATAAATATCTAGTTTTGACGCAAGGCATCGGATTAAAGTGAATCAATGCGAGTTCAGACGCAAGGTATCGGATTCAAGTGAATCAATGCTTAGTTCTGACACGAGGCATTGGATTAAAGTGAATAAATGCCTAGTTCTGACGCAAGGCATAGCTGTGGTTTGAAGGTTAGATAGCTGCTATACTATTGAGACTTGACCTCATGTCTCAAGGGACCGCATTCATATCAAAACATCTCGTTCATCTGTGCAATAAAAAAATGGTTCTGACCTATTTCTTGTTTATTCTGTACACATTCGTCTTGATTTGGGATCTATCTACTTTTATTTTCCTAAATCTCATAAAAATGAACTAATAATAAGTTCCTTGTACACTAAATAATTTATCGTTTTAAGCTTCTGCGGCTATATACATACACTACACACACTATGTACCGAAATGAGTTCCGATATTTGGTTATTTGCGAAATTCGTGGTAAGAACCCTTTAAGCAATAGTGTAAATAGCCTATGTTATCTAATAAGGCAATAATTATTCACTTATGAAGGGTCAAGAATACAGTGCGTCATCATAATATTACATAAAAAAAAGTTCACATGCCATAGTGGGTAACCAAAATATGTTGACATGCATTACTCATCGCGTTCAACCCAAAACACAACTAAGCATTTACAAGATTCTGTTTGATAAAGCATGAAGTGAATTATATTTAGGACGTCACATAAATTCTACAAGCGACCAACAAAATTGCCAACATTTATTTTCTTCAGCGTCGACAGGCAATATTTTCATATTAGGCAACAACAATTAACGCTAGCAATAAACACGATACGATTATGACAATTTTTTAAGAAATGCATATTGACAGTTTACTACGAATGACAAACTTTTTTTTTACGACCTTTGATGCGAACTTTAATTTTTTTTTCTCCTACCTACGCCGAAAGTTCGGTTTTCGTCCCGCTGTACAGGGAAGAAAGTGTAACTTTTTCTCCCTGGGTACAAGTGCGCATGCGCGTTAGTGTCTACGTCTGCTTTCACGCACCTAAAATTCTTCGCCATTGTTGTCAGACAGTTCTTATTCAATTAGTAGTAGTTTATTTAAAAATTAAAAAACAGTTAAATTGTTTTTTTTATGAGTTCGGGGCGGGTCCGCCCCTCTACCCCCGGCCAGGGCTTCCTCCCTGGACCCCACCGGGGCTTCACCCCTGGACCCCGGCTCGGTACTCCACGAACTTTCGGCCTGGTAGGAGAAAAAATAGTATGTGCACCGCGGGAGAAAAGTTGAACATTATCTCCCGCGTGTAAAATTGAAAACTTTTTACCCTTGGTGCACAATGTACTATTAATATTCGTTTTTTTTTTTCGAAAATAAATTTACTGTCTAAATTGTAACTGTCAATGCTCTTTCCAGGTCTTCGGCGTGACAGTAATCCTCAATTTTATTTATAAATAAACTAATTATAATATTACAAATAAGCTACTTAAATGTACCATGATCATAAATCAAAATATTGAATACATCA